GTTATTGTTCATATCTACTGCTTTATGAGGTATAGAGTTTACATACTTAGTATAATAAATTATGATAATTGTTTTCTTATAGACAGAAAAGTCCATGTACTATTAATAAGGAAACAAAGTTAGTCTATTTTAAAGTTACTTATTAATAATTATAATGATAGAGCTGATGACGATATTTCAATGCAAGTATGTGAACCATATGGAATCCACAAGGCAAAACAAAGTGAAGAGAATGAAGGAGTTTATGATGAATGTCAAACATCACCTGAAGATGTTTATGAACGTATGCCACAATAAAAGGTATTAGAGCAACTTAACATAGAGTAACTGTTGAAATGTTTTTACTAGTTTTAGTGTATCAATTTGTATTATAGTTATACATTACATAGTTTGTGTGAAAAAGAGAATACAACTTTATGAGTGCATTTAATAGTCACAGTGTAGTCTTGTGGATGTGGCACAAGATCTGATTTTAGCAAATTACATGTACTGATCAATCCTCCTATCTTCATTTCTTCACCATCTAAAAGAGAGAGAGAGAGTATATTAATAGAGAGACTTTTACTTACCAAGATTCCATTCCAGTCCAGTGGTCCAACATTGATCACATGATTCTCCTAATGGTATTATGCCACAATGGCCTTCCACCAATTCTCTTTTCAAATGAATAATATTAGTACCCTATGAAAACAGCAATTGTTGACAGTATAACATCAAAAGTACATGCATTTAAGTGTCTAGTTGGCCACAAAGTTTTGATACATGTAGTTTGTTGTTGTTGTTGTGTGTGGTTATGCTTATTTGACTCCATGCAAGCACTGGTGGCTTTGTTATGATATCACATCCTTACGGGATTCAATAGCATTAAAACTGAGTCTTCAGTTACAAGGTATACTCTTTGATTAGCAGCTGCTTTGTAAAGCTCGTGTACATTCCCAAGCATTTGATCAAATCTTCCCCACATTCTGTTTAGAACATACACTGTAGCACACTAGGAAAACATACAAAAACTAATGACAACATTATTGGATAGTTTTATTGTACCTCTGGCTTTTCTGTTGACAGGTAAGTTAATGCTTTGCTAAAGTCAGTACTGTCTTGATCATGTTTCCTTATGATCTCTGATTTCTAAAATTATAATATTACTTGATTCACTATTAATATACTTAATACTTTTGATTCATAATAATCTTTTACATCAGGTCGTATTGAATCCATATCTCCAATAATAACGTTTGGAATAAAACTTTATACAATGAATAAAATTAATAAAAAGAAACTTCCAGCCAACAAAGGCAAAATATAATTATTTGTTATCATTGAAAGTGAAATTAGAATCTAAGGAGGCAAGGTTTGAGTCCCACCTTCTTTAAGCTGCATGTAATAAAACCAACTTTACTTTACTCTATGTTCTTCAGTTAGTGTATCATGCAATGAGTTGGAGCCACCATCAGCACACACTCTAAAAGCAACTACAAGCAAATGATACTAATTTACATAATTTTATTCCTACATTTTTTCCAGTTTTTAAGTAGGAAATTCTCCAGTGGTCCTAAAGAAGACCCATTGTTCAATAAGAGCAGAGCCTGCTTCTCTTCTGTGCCTATTCAAACAATAAATGGACTTGCACTATCACTACCTACAGCAAGGAACAGAAAACAAAGAGACTGACCTTCACCAATATGCAAAGGTGAACACTCCATGTTTTTACACCGGAAGTAAATCTGGCATTTTATGACGTAACTTCCGCTTGATTTCACACATCCGGTTTCATTTCACTTCCGGTTTGATTCTTCGTATACTAAAATAACTTTTCCGTTTACCATCGTAATCTTGTTGAACAAAAATGGTG